AACACAGTAGGTGCTTAATTGAACACTTGTGTGCAAGACGCTGTTATGGGTACCATCAAGGGATTCTAGCATGAAGATGACATGATCTCTGCTTCTTAGGATTGTTTGAGGTTAAGGTCTAAAGTCGGAGTCTGTGGAGGGTTACAGGAGAGGCATGTATATACTGGACATATAGAGATGGGAGAAATTATTTTAGTAAGTAGAAATGAGAAGCAGACCTGACATTTGGGTGCTCTGTCATTTGGGACAGACAGAGCACTGAATGCAAAGATCCTGTAAAATATAAGACAAGGTTGGGAATTAATTGGGTTATACGAAAGAGGGGAGCGAGAACTCAAGTGGAGAAATTGGTTGAAGGTCTTGGCCCACACAGTTATTTCTTAAAGTATCTTTTTAGTCTAAAGACTTTGCACATTATACAAAAGAGTGTGGCCTTTTTTTCTTAATGAATCATCAAATGTTTTTAAACCATTTATGGGGTGTTAGTAGGAGGAAAGACTTTCGACTGTTAAGAGATCAGTTAGGTGACGTCATAGTCATCTAGGGAAGAATTAGTTAAAACTATACCAATTAAGAAGAAAGTAGAGACATATGTAATAAACATTTCAGAAGTAGACTGGGCAGCTTGAGTTAGAGGTAGGAGAGATAACACAGGATAAGCTAGCAATTTCAGATTGGATAACTGGAAAACAGGAAAAATAAGAGGTAAGGTGGACTTTGAATGATAAGTAAGAAATGTGCCAAATGTAATAGACGGTAGGATGTGAGAGTTTGGGAAATATATGTTCTAACAGTACTGATTTTTCAAACTACATATTTTGAATTTTATTTTTATTGAGGTATAATATGCAAATGGTAGATTTCTCTCCTTTTAGCATACAGAACTATGAGTTTTGGCAAGTGCACACATACCTGTAGCCAGCATTATGGTCAAGATAAGAACAGTTCAATCATGTGAAAAACTTCTCCATACTCCTTTATAGTCAACTCTTTCCCCTAGCACCATTTCCTGATGCCCACTGATCTCTTTTCTGCCCCTTTAATTAAAACTGTGATTTAAAGAGTCCTAGGGACTACCACAAAGTGGTCTCAAATGACAAGAGAGCTGAACTTCAAGTCTCTAGCTTTATCATCACTTCATCTAGATAAGTTTTGTTTCTTGGCTTTCTGTCTTATCTGTTGGCATTTTACTTAATATTGTATAGGGAATGGGGGAGAAAATTACTACTGATACAACTCTGTCTGAGCTGCCATTATCTTTTACCTGGATTGTTGAAGTAGCCTCTGAGTGGGTTTCCTTGTGTTGACCTTTGCTATCTATAATCTGTTCTCAACATAGCAGTCAGTGTGGTCCTTTTACAACATAAATTTGATCATGTAATTCATCTTAGAACCTTATAATGGCTCTCTCTTTAGTAAGAATAAAAGCAAGTTCTGAAAAGTGACCTGGAAGTCCCTGGACTCTCTGGGTCCCCTGCTAATTCACCAACATCCTTCCACTCTCTCCTTTGCTCACTTTGTCTATTCTAGTTACACTGGCTGCCTTTCTGTTCCTCAAACAAGTCAGCCATGTGCCTACCCTAGGACCTTTGCCTTACCTTGTTTTTGTTTTTTAATTGAGGTGACATTCACAGAGCATGAAATAAACTATTTTAAACCTTAAAGTATACAATTTACTGGCATTTAGTACATTCATATTGTTGGGCAACTGTCACTTCTATCTAGTTCCAAAACATGTTTGTCACCTCCAAATGAGACCATGTACCCCTTAAGCAGTCACTTTCTACTCCCCCTCCTTTTTTCCTCTCTCCTCTATTCTTCACTCCTAGCAACCACTAATCTGCTTTCTGTCTCTCTGGATTTACCTATTCTAGAGATTTCATATGAGTGGAATCATATAATACGTGACCTTTCGTATCTGACTTCTTTCATTTTGGTGTATTTTCAAGGTTCACTCACCGTGTAGTATGTTATCAGTACTTTTTTTCATGGATGAATAATATTTTTATCATATGCATATAGCACATTTTGTTAATACATTCATCCATTGACAGACATTTGGGTTGTTTTTACCTTTTTGCTATTGTGAAAGTGCTACTGTGAGTATCCATGTACAAGTAGTTGTTTGGATACCTGTTTTCAGTTCCTCTGAGTATATACCTAGGTTTGGAAATGCTGAGTCATATGGCATATCTACGTTTAACTTTCTGAATAGCCACCAAACTGTATTCTATGACATCTGGACTATTTTATATTTCCAGTATTGCTTTTACATTCTCACTTCCATCAAGTTTTTGCCTGGACTTCACCTCAATGAGATCTACCCTGACCACCCTGTTTAACCCTGTAACTTACTCCCATCCCCGCCCTTGTCTCATTAGCATCCTTCTCCTTACGCATATGGTCTTAATGTGGTCTCTTTTTTAGGCACTTGAGTAATGTTTCATTATTGTCACTATCTCTTACACATGGGAACTCAGTTCCTCCCTAGGTCATAGGACCATTCATCTCAGTGATCCATCAGACAGCTGTCTTTGCAAGAATAGGTGCAGTTAGCTATGGAAAAATAAATTTTACACAGTCATTAAAACATGATGACACAGTGGTTGAGATTTCTGCTTTATCCTTTGCTGAGGACTAGATTGCAGCTTAATGATTTGTAATTATTTTGTTGATTGGATTTTCTTCAAAGCCTTCTCACAATTATAGCAAATTAGATATCATTTTCATACTTTATAAATGCTAATTGAATTTATTTTTCAACCTGTCAACATTAACCCAAAATATAGGCAATAATATATATATATAGATGGCTATCCAGTATACTAAATTGAAATGTATTTTTGTTGAAATTGTCAGGGGAGTCCCTTTTGCCGGTGAAATAACTAGAACATAAGAGCCTGACTTTCTCTTTCTCTAAGTCTCTCTTCGTTAAGGGAAAGAGTAAGAGAGTGCATTTTAAAAGAGATTTATGTACAACTAACTCCATAAAACACTAACGCTAGGGTAGAATCCCATAAAACTTGGGAAGTTCAAGCTGCTGTCTAGGCTGAAGCATTCTGCTGTGTCCCTGCACCCACCTTCAGCTATGGTTGGAGCAGCAGGAAGAGGATTAGCTTTAACCTTCATTTTGTAACCTTTTAAATAGATTTCCTGACATGAATGTCTTCATTTTTAGAGGTTCAACATTTGATTTTCTCATTTTCATTTACATTTTTCCATAATCCTTTTCTTTTTTTTATCTCAAGTTTAAGAAGCAAGATCATTGTCTTCTCAGATTGCTCCTTTTGCCAACTTGCTGAGACTATGAATATTCTCAGTAGTGCATGATATTCATGGTATTTGACAGGAAAATTAAAAAATATTTTGAGGTTTTTAAATAAAAGATACAAATTTGGGGTGTGGTGTTTGAATATTGTTTCTGTTAAATACACATATCAAAATAGAGCTTGAAGACAGTATATTTTATGAAAAGGGAACAGAATTGATAGGGAAAAAGTTATAGAAGATTTCCCACATTTTGAAAACAGAGAGCATGGTCAAGAACTAATTAATGCCTCCTCACCTGGAAATATAGCGTAGGTTGTTGTTCGCCTCCTGGATAGCGGGAGAAAAAGAAGCAGGAGCTGGAGGACTCATTCCTTCAAGGATTTTTATTGACATATTGACAAGACTCCCCTTACCCTGCTGGCAGAGTACTTAATCAGGAAAAGTCTTGTTTTTTATAATTTTTTTGAAGTTCATTTCATGGTCTGAGTATCTGTTTCATACTGTTTTGAATATCTAATTAAAAGCAACAACAACAACAACAGTGCCATGAGAAGCGATAGATAGCAGTCAGAATTAATCTCTTTGTTCCCTTCATTCTCGTGGATTCTTTGTAATGTTGCCTTTTAATCTATTTGGGCCTGTTTTTAGCTCTCTCACTAGGTGGAAAACTCTGCAGAGACAGACTGATTGATAATCCCATCATCTTTCCAGTGTACCTGTAGGCCCTCATTAAGACTCAGATTTATGAACATACCAGAGGTCATAGGAACCAACTATATTCAGTGAAGCTGTTATCTCCCCTATCACAAGGCACTTGAGAATATTATTTCTAAGAATGCAATAAAATGTGTTTAAACACTAGTTATCATGATTCTGGTGCAATTATATATAAATTTGTCTTCTTTTTTTTTTTTGTCCATGGGACACAGACTTAAGTTTTAGTTGTTTAACTTTAGATGAGAAGAACTACAGGAAGCATGAAATGTGATGCACTATGACTGTTTTTCTTGAGTGATCTTTCTTTAACAGAAGCAGACCTTGAGAAGATTTGTTGCAAGATAGCCATATACAAATAGGTAGAAACCGAAATGACTATGAAAACCAGATGTTTTGTCTGGGCCTCTGTTGAGAAAGAGTTTCCATGTTGGCATATATCATTTCTCTCTTGTTTACCCACACTGATTAAAGGGCATTTATCTAGTGGTGTGCACAATTGCTGCGTGCAGTACTCATTTGCATGTTCTTACCACCATGGTTTCTATAAAACATGATATTTCTGTTGGCAATTTAAGTTCATTACTTCAGAAATGATCATATTGGAAATCCAGGATATGAGCAATATTTATTTTTATTTAAAATTGCTAGGAGGATTTGTTAGACAATGTCTGGTTTCCTGACATTGGCAAGAGACTTTACTGAGTTTCCCCCTAATTTTCAAGTACAGATTTGTGTTACACATACATTTTAACATGTTATTATTGTAGGATTTTATTTGCTTTAATTTAGAAAATTCCAGGCTTTCTTTATTTTGCCTTCATGAGACTCCAAACTCTTCTTCTTTAGAAATGTCCAAAAGATATTATTTGTGGTTTAGATCCTGGACTGATCTGGTTTGTTTTTAGAACCTAAACCACTTAAATAGAGGGAAGAAAGCATTGATGATATAGTTTTAATTTTATTCTGTTTTAATACTGTGTAGTCTAACATATTGTGGTACATTTTTCCCACAGGTTCATATCCAGCTTTCAGAGTGGCACCGTGCAATTTTTCTTCCTCAGGCCTGGCTTTTATATATGAATCGAGCTTACCATGCCATTTTACAGGTAATAAAACCATGGGGTTTGCTTCAGAACTGTATCTCCTTCTTATCTTAAATTTTACTGCAAGTATGTTTTTAACATAAAAAACACTTGGGAAAATAGCACTATCAAAAACATAATTGCTATTTTTACTCATAGGAGAATGTGAGGCATTCATATATCACTACACTTAAATTTTGATGACCACCAAATCTGTGTATCTCATCCAGAGGTACCTCCTAAATGCCCCTCTTCTCTGTCCCACTGCCTTCTGGCTGTCCCTGCTTGGCTGCCCACAGCATCTGACTTGGTGCATCCCAGCCCGAGCTCATTGTCTTCCCCTATACCTGTGCTTCCTCACCTGGACTTGCTTACATCTTCAACCTTATCTCTTAACCTTTGCCTAGATTTTAATGTTTCAGTCTTGCTAAATATGTTTTCTTAAACTCACCATGTCTTCTCTAACCTCTTAGCTTTCACATACATTACTCTTTCTGTCTCAGACCCCACCATTCCCTCTTTGCCTACCTGATTTCTACTTGATCAATTTATCTGGGCAGGGACTTTGTGCTGTAATTCTCTCCCCCAATGGATTATATGACTCTCTCTTGTACTTCCTTAGTACCTGTGCTTCCCTTTTTGAAGCCTTTGTCATGATGGCTGTATATCCGGGAACTCAAGTTATCTCTGTGCTCCTTGAGGGCAGGAGCTGTGTTTCTTCTCTGTTGTGTCTAAAATATACTAGGTAAAATATACTAGGTGCTCACTAAATAAATAAACTATACTCAATTTGACTACATTCAATTCAATAATGTTATAAGTAATAGTTTGTAAGTTTTTAAAACTACAAATAATTTTAATCAGTTGGGGAATATATAATACAACGTTAACAATATAAGAAAATAACTAGCTCAGTTCTTTTTTCTCACTTAAAATTAATTGTTAAGGATGATAGAAAAAAATCTGATGCTACTTTAGTAATCTATGTCTCATAGTAAGATTTTTACAGAGTCTCAGGAAGTGTGGTGTTGTGCTTAAAGATAACAGTTGTCCTATAAAATAGGATGGGGAGTGAGAGTAGAGGTTAGGATGAGGTAGGAGGAATGACTGAGTTTCTGGCCATTGGTGTTCCCATCTCAAATTAAAACCTTGTTGCAACATATGTTATTGAAGTTAGAATTTATAAAACACTGTTATGTTTTCAGATATTCTGGTTAATTAGAACTGAGTAGGGAATCAGAACTCTCCATGTTTAACACACTGCCAGGTGATTTTAACCCACTTAGTCTACTAAACTTTGAGCAACGTTGTTTTAAATGATTCCTTAAATGCACTGTAGTCCGCATTTTAAGATGTTTCTTTGGAAACATCGTTTCCTTTTGCTCATTGTTTCCTTACCCAGTTTTTATACTCAGCAGCATCTGAGTATGTTTTGAATAAATGCAGGAGTGAATGAATGATAGACTCATGTCTCTACATTTCTTTAACATCCTTATACACACCCTTAGCCTATTACAGTTTTTAATTCAGGAAGCGTGAGATTGCAAGTCAAAGTATGCACTTTTTCTCACATTTATTTTTCCCTAGGTAATTTTGCAGTTTTCCTTTACCAGATGTTTATGGAGCATTTTATATTGAGCAGGTCCTGTGCTGAATGTCTGGGGTACACAGAGCACTCCTTCCTCACAGTAACCTCCCACTTCAGCGGGGGAAGGATGGTATGTCCAATAGCAGTTCCAGTACAGTATCTTCCATGCTTTAGTGACAGATGTACAAATGCTATGGGCAGCTATAAAAGGGGTGAATAACCCCTCCTCCTTCAGAATGAACTGAGAATTTTATTTAGCTCTTAGTGTAAGAAAGGCTAAATCGAATAGGATTATAGTATAACTCTGCAGGTGACTGGCAATTGATTTCAAAATACTCCATGATTTTTTTCATAAGAGCTACCATTTGTTGAATAACTAGTTTGTATCAAACATTTATGTATTATTTAATTAATCTTTTCAGAAAGCCTTTGAAGTGGATGTTATTAACCTCATATATAATGGGATTATAGATGGGGAAGCAGGGTTAGGTAGGAAAGCAAAGCAAACAGCTCAAAACTTAACAGTCAGTAAATGAAAGTATTGGAACTTAACCTGGATTTGTGTGACTTTTAGAGCCTCAGCATTTTCCACTGCACCTTACATTTTTCCCAACACTGTCATTAACTGTAAAATAAATAATGCAAAGTTGTTTAATGTTTTAAAGGACAGATATGTTTATGAAAAACTTGCTGACTATTTTTTGTAATGCAGGTCAATTATTCGGCCTTTATTCTGTTGAAGTGATTGTATATATCTTTATTTATTGTTTAAAATCTCTTTACAATGGATTTCTAATAAGTCAACTAAGAATTGGTGACAAAAGAAGTGAAAGTAAAAGGATGAACTATAATAAGATTTTCAGCATTATTTGAAAATACAGCAATGTGTTTTAGTCTATCACCATTACTTGAAAGTACACTGATGCATTTTACTTTAAGTTTTTTAAATGAGTCCATACACTTAAATAGAATTTATGTTATCTTAGAAGAATTGGAGCAACTGCCAGACTACTCCTTATCTAGATCAAGAATTTCTGTCCTAAAAGACACATTTTCTGTACAGGAGTTATAGTTACTTCCATCTGGCACCAGATATATTTTGTAGCATTAAACTACGGGATCATTTAGAGGACCCATGTTTCATTCAATTAAGCCTAGAAGGCATGCTAAAAGGTACAGTCTACATTACTTCCTGAAGGCTGATTAGGATGTGAATAAGTCAGATCTGAATACTGCTAGTGGGTTCTATTTAGGCATCTACTCCCAGCCTTGGCTAATTTTTCCACAGGAACTTAGGGGTTTGAATTGTAAGCATATCAAAATGGTTGACATGGGAAGGTATTTGGATTTCTTCCCTTTAAGATAAAAAATGTAGCTATGAGCCGACAGTACAGAGACCATTTTGGTAAGGAGCTCTCCACAGTCTTCTTTACTTTGTTGTCCTTGTGGGGTGCTGAGGAGGCTAAGGTCTCTAGCCTTTGTGAAAAGTGCTCTTTGGGACTGTGAGAGAGGTCGGCTATGGACATTTCCTAAAGAGTTGGTCAACTGGTTGTAAATTAATCTAAGATCGAGACCCGCCCAAGGAACTTGGCGAGACCTCATCTCTACAATAAATTAAAAAAAAACTTAGCCAGGCGTGGTAGTGTGCCTGTAGTTCCAGCTACTTGGAAGACTGAGGCGGAAGGATCTCTGGAGCCCGGGAGGTCGAGGCTGCAGTGGCCAGAAGCGGCTACTGCACTGCAGTCTGGGTGACGGAGTGAGACTCCAACTAAAAAAAAAAAAATCTAAAATCAAGGTCAGGATCAGAAACTATGTGCCCCAATAAGGTACTCTTTAACCGCTTGTATAGTTGTTGTTGTTTTGTGTGTCTGTTTTGTTTGTAATGTAGAGTGAGCTAGGTAAAATTTCTCACTATAATCAGCAAATTCTTAGATGTATGGCTAGTGATAAAAATTAGGAGGATGGACAGATTAATAATTGGAATCTACAGAAAATGCAAAAATCTTAATTTAAATGATCATTTTAGCCTTTTTACTCCCAATAAGTGTTTTTCACCCTTAACCACAGCTGCTTACCAGAAGTAGAGGTGGCTGAATTAAATACCACTGGATCGCTCAGTTACCAGTAGGTAAACAATTGGAAGGCAAAGCAGGTCTGAATAAATCACCTAACATGGATTGGGTAGAGGAGGTTAAAGAGACATTCCAGAAGAGGAGATGGAAAGGAATAGAGACTCTGAGAAAGATACTAAATTTACTTAGTCACAGTAGAATGGTTTGTACTGGTTTATGACTACAGGGGAAGTTAGAAAAGGAAGTCTTTTCAAGAAGTTACACATATTCTAGTTTTCTTGTATTTTGCTTATTTCTAAACATTCTAAACAGATTTTAACCTTTTAATTTCCTGTTCCTTATCTATTTTTCTTTTAGAAAAGTATTATAGGAAATAAATATTTTAGGAGTAAAGAGACATAATTTAAAAATTTAACATGAGTAGCAAAGACAACAGTCAATACAAATTATTTTCTATTTTCCTGCACTCATGAGATGCTAATATCAATATTTTACAAGTTTGATTATCCCTGATATTTTGCTCCAAGAGATAAAGGGGAGAAAAAAAGAACTAGAATTCTATCTTTGAAAATATGGAGATGAGGGTGGATATGACTGAAGTATGAAGGATGTGGATAGACTTCCCATCACATCCCAGAGTGCCAGAATTGGTAGCTTCAGGGCACTGTAAGCGAGAAGTTGCGCTACATTCAAGGACTCTATAGACTGATAAACAGTCTTTGCCCTCAGTGAGCTCACAGGCTGGTAATTGAAAGTATATGAGAGAAACACAAGCACATGTAACTTCTTAGTCTGGATATTGCATTTTTAGAAACCATTTTTGTCATGACATTATACAAATTAAAACATATGAATTATTTCAGGAGGTATTTAGATATATTTATGAAAGATGACTTTGTATGCCGCTAATAGAGGAGAGTGGGAACTTTTGATTATTAACAACAAACCTAGTAATAGAGCTATTTTTGTTATCAGGCTCTCTGCCAAATAGACGTTTTCCCACATTACTTAATGTGATGCTCTAATATCACGAAGTAGTTGTTATCTACAACTTATAAATGATAAACCAATGCTTAGATAGGTGAAGTAACTTTCCTAAGTGTACACAACCAGTAAGTGGAAATGGCATTAAGCCAAAGCATTCTGAGCCCACATTCTTAACCCTTCAAGCTGTATTGCCTTTCTTCCTAAGATATAGAGAGAGGTTTATACTTTGCCTCTATAGTACATTCCTTTGAACCCTAAAATCAGTAAGAAAAAAGCAACCAATAGGAAAATGGGCAGAATAGGAAATCCTAATAGTAGATAAACGTGAAAATATGCTCAATTTCATTAGTAAACAATGAAATAAAATTAAAACCATAGTGAGTACCATTCACATCTACCAAAATGATAAAAATTAAAAACCTGACAATCTCAGTTGTTGGTGAGGATGCGAAGTAACTGGAACTCTTATCTATTGCTCATGAGAATGTAAACTGGCACACCACAACTTCCCACAAATGGTTGGTCATGACACCATCATAGAATACACAATCTGAGTTCTCGTTGAATTTGGGGCCCATCAACAAACTAGTATTTAAATAACATTTAAATAACATAATTGGTGATGAAGTAGAGGAAGAATCACCTGAATGTAAAAAAATGAAAAGGATAATGAATATTTGAAGGCCTTGGTCTTAAAGGGACAATATTAACTTTTTATTACACAGTAGAAGCTGGGAATTATATCTATTTTTATAAGTTCACTCAAGAGATAGAAATGTATGTGGAGATGTTGGAGAATACCTTACATTGTGTATTACCTGAATTTTAAGTGTTACACACTTATCCAACTCACTTTCTACTATTCTGTTACAACACTGTGCAAAGAGACCAATACTATATAGGGTCAACTAAAATTACTAGTTTCCAACAAAGGCAGATCATTACCATGTATGAGATTTTTTAAGTGGGACCTATGAAATTCAATTTTGATTTAATAGATATCCCAAAATGAAATCCCCTGCACTAAATTTGCCAAACATACAACTTCTCCAGGATGTACCTCTTTGGTGGATGTAGAAATACCTGAGCAATAATGTGATAATTTCTCCTCCCACATCCTCCTTCATAACTTGATATCCCATTAGGAGCACTTATGGCCATATGGGAAAGGATGTGTCTGTTTTTGCCAAAGAAATTTTAAGATCATTTTGACCATCTCGTTTACATGCTGATTGATGCTATGGTTTTTGCAGGGAAGAATAGGAGAGTTGGAGTTGCAGTTAAAACATGGAAAAGAAGGACCTGAGGAGATACAATACAAAAAAAGCACAGCCTGGCTCTGGTAAGGGGATGATGTTCAGCTGCTCATTGTGTGTCATGGAAAGTGAGCTATGAGGGGAAAGGTAACTACTTTAAAGGCTTTAAGATTGACAGTTTAAACTTTTGTATAGGCCTGAAGGGGAAACAACAGAAGATCTGATGATAAGGGTATTTTCTACCCACTCCCTAGATATAATAAGGAGAACTCTATTCATAAATCATGCATATGCATTTTTTCTAAAGCAATGTGGAAATAGTTTTTCCCTGTAACTAATTATTTTATATGCATTTAAATGAAAAAAATCTGTTTTTCCCACTCAATGTATTGCTTTCTTCCCTCACATTTAGTCAAGGATTACTCCTCCCCTCCTCTCCTTCCCTGCCTTCCCCAGACATCTTCATTATTAGAAACAACTTTACCATGGCAGGGCTTTAATTTATTTGGCAGACACTTCCTAGGGAATTCCTACTATATTAACTAGAAATGTATAAGTGCTGCCTCATTAAAAACTACTTAAATTGTTATATGGGCTGGGAAGAATACCTTGTCGGATTAACGTTTTATCAGCGTAAATGAAAGTAAAATGCCTAAAATCTAAAGAGCTTTGCCTATAGCCACAGTTTGCATTAATCTAAAAATCTATCCAAAGTTATTTGATTTTAGTTTTTATTTACTTTTTATTGATTTTCATTTGTTATATTTTCTAGATTTATAGTAAAAAAGCAATGAAGTTTAAAATATTGTGATATTGGATTTAAGATTAGTGATTAAGGATTTGGGTTTTGCTATTATCTTTTGTATCTAGTTTTAATTTCATCTTCTGAAAGTGATAATTTGGTGGGAGTGGTATATTTGTGAATCTCTCTAAAATATATAGAGAAAGCTACGGGTATATATCCCTGTAGAAACTCGTGAGCTGTATGTATATGTGAGTATAAAGGAGGTAGTCCCTAGAAGTTTCTTAGGAATAATATAGAACTAAAAAAACTCACAGTTAAACTTGCAGTAACTGATAAACTATCTTGAAGAGAGCTCTTCAGCATCCTTACTTAATTAGAACACAGTCCTAAATCTAAATAAAGATATCACTTTATTTATTATTTCAAACAGTATTTATTGAGTGTCTGTTATATACCAGGTACTGTTCTAAGCACAGAAAAACAGCAGTGAATAAAACCTCTTCGTTGTTCTCTCAAAGTTTGAATGGAAATACATAATAAACAAGTAAACACATATAAATGATAGGTTTTGACTAGTGTAAGAAAAATAGCATAGGGTAAAGGGAGTAGAATGATTAGGACTGGTGAGGTATGAGGTCTGGGATTTGGTGTTACTGTTTACTATAGGGTTTTCAGGAAGGGTCTCTTTAATAATACGGCATTTGAATGAGATCTGAAAGAAGTGGTGGAGTGAGCCATGCTGATACCCAAGGAAGACCATTTCAGGAAGAGAGATTAGCAAATTCAAAGGCCTTGGGAGTATACCTGGCAAGGAATCCAGTATGGCATGGGGAGGACAAGGAGGGACATAGTGGAATATAAGAGCACAGGAGTTGAGGAGAGCAGACTATAGAGGGTCTTTGTAGGCATAAAGAGGACTTTGACTGTGAGTGAGAGATGGAGAAACACTGGAAGATTTTAAACAAAAGATAAAACTCATAATTTAAAAGATTTCTCTAGCTGTTATGTTGAAAATACACCCTGAGGGAAATGGTTAGGAATCTCTTGCAATAATTCAGGCAAGAAATGATAGTGTTTTAGACTAGGGTGTTAGTGGCAGAACTACTGAAAAGTAAATCTTGAATCTATTTTGAAGGCATATTCCGTAGGTTTTAAATGCTAATCATTAAGTGAAAGATGTGAAAGAAAGGTGAAAGTTAAGGATAACTTCAAGGTTTTGACTCTGAATAACTAAAAGTTTGGTATTTCCATTTACTAAGATTGAGAAGACTGCAGAAAAGCAGGTCTGTATGGGGTAGGAATTGGGTTTTGAACTCGTTAGGCCTGAATTGCCTAGAGCCGTCTATTGGAGATATCAAGTAGATTGTTGACTACATGAGTCTGGAATTCCGGAAAGCAGTCAGGGCTACAGATATAAATCTAGGAATCATCAGCATACTGATATTTAAAATGATGATGCTGGATGAGATTACCTAGGGAGTTAGTAAAGAAAGAGAAAATTTTAGAGGATTGAGCCCTGGGACACTTCAGCATTTAGAGGTGGGGAAGATGAAGAGGGAACCAGAAAAGCAGATGGAAATTTAGTGATCAGTGACATAGGAAGAGAAAAACTAGAGAGTGGAATCGTAAAAGCCAAGGAAAGATGTTCTAACAAATGAACAGCTAATTTTATCAAATGTTGCTGTGAGGCTGCAAAAGTTGGGCACTGACAGCAGATTATAGAAGGGTCTGGATAGGATGGAAAGAGATAATTAAAGTTATGAAGTATACAGGTAATCTTTTACAGGAGTTTTGATATATAACAGAGAAATGGGGACAATAGTTGGAGGGCTTTCTTTTTAAGAGGGTAGATACTACAATATTTTCACATGGGGAATAATACAAGTAGAAATGGAAAATCTGGTGAAATAGCAGTGAAAAGGGATTAAATAGAGAGCTCTGGTGCAAGAGTCCCCAGCCCCTGGGCCACAGACCAATACTAGTCAATACCAGTACTAGGAACTGGGCCGCATAGCAGGAGGTGAGTGGTGGGCAAGTAGACCTCTACCTTATGTCAGATCAGCAGCAGCATTAGATTCTCTTACGAGCTAGAACCCTATTGTGAACTGGGCATGTTAGGGATCTAGGTTGCGTGCTCCTTATGAGAATCTAATGCCTAATGATCCTCCCCACACCCTGTCTGTGGAAAAATTGCCTTCTACAAAACTGATTCCTGATTTCAAAAAGGTTGGGAACTGCTGCTTGAGTGCACAGGTGGAAAGTTTGGCCTGAGTGAGAAGTATATGCAGGTCATCATAAATATTCTATATTGGCCGATGAAAGATTTCATTGAATGTATTTTATTCCATTTAGAATGACAGAAATTGGATAATACATTTTAGAGAAATGTACTGTCAAATGCTTTTTAAAAATACAAGATAAAGATCTATAAGAGCAGTTTACAACTGTCTGAAAAACTTGTTTCTTTAAGAATGACCTATTCTCAACTGGGCACAATGTCTCACATCTATGATCCCAGCACTTTGGGAGGCTGAGGCAGGAGGATTGCTTGAGCCCATGAGCCTAAGCAACATAGCAAGACCTTGTCTCTACAAGAAAATAAAAAAATTAGCCAGGTATGTGGCACACACTTGTAGTCCCAGCTATTCAGGAGGCTAAGGTGAAAGGACCACCTGAGCCCAGGAGGTTAAGACTGTGGTGAGCTGCGATCATGCCATTGCACTCCAGCCTAGGTAACAGAATGAGACCCTGACTCAAAATTAAAAAAAAAAGAAAAGAAAGAAAGACTTATTCTGAGAAAGTGCTGAATAGCTAAGATTTTATTATATTTCAAATGCAAATACTTATGAATGTAAGTATAGTTTATATTTGACTATGACAATAAAAACTTTGAATTTATAAAAAATCCAAAGTATGTATTAATAGTGATTCTATTTAAAATGCAAATTTGGCAACCAGTGGTTATTTTTTATTTTATCTCAAGGCTCCTCTATTAGATTTAAAAAATTTGAATTGAGCATACTTTTCTTCTAACCCACAAGTAATTATTTTCATTTAGCTTTGGTGTGACTTTATAACCAAAGTTCAAATTTATCTTTTATCTATACACATAGTGACGATTCCATATGTACAATTTGGAAATAGTAAATTGATGTTTTGATGAGCTCTCATGTAAAAAAGAAATAGAGAATATCATAGTCAGTTTGAGCTTCTAAATATTGTCACATTTGGGATAAGGATTTCAACATATGAATTTGGGAGGACACAGCATTCATCCATAAATAAGAGTAATATAAAGGACATTTGTAAAGGATACGCTGCACTCAGTTTGAGATAACACTATTACAATGCCTATCTGTATTTCCCCTCAGTTACATTCACTTCCTTCCATGACTCCACTAAGTGACCTCATGAACAAGAAGATGAAGCAGTCATTGAAGCAAAGCCCTTTCTGTGGTTTACTCACCTTACATCAAAATTCTGCATATACAGTTTTTAAATCTGGAGTCACTGCTGGAGGTTTTTATTAAGTGATTAATAAGATAAAGTGTCAAGTCCTTGCTCTAACAGAAATTCATATCTACTTTCCATCTGTATTGCAGGGTCAGAGACATGTTAACTGATGAGATCACCAAGACAGCTGCAAAGTAAGATCCATTTATTTTCTTATCAAAATTTTTTTTTTAAATTTTGTCCTGGCAGTTACGTACAGTTTTTCCTTTTAGGGCATTTTATAACTTTAAGGATTTTAAATACTTTTCCATTTAAAGAAAAAAAATCAATCATGAACTCTTTTGAATTAATATACATGTCTATATGTCTTTTTCGTGGAAATACAGAAGGGCTGATATAAACATATAATTTTTACATTGGGAATCACTGAGGTTGAGCCCTTACCGTACACCTAACAACTGCCATGTACTTTGACTTAGATTTAAAGGATCATAATTTAGTTCAAAGGGATTTAAGAAAAAGAGATCCTTGCTAATGTGAATTATGTGGATTCTACAAATAATTTATTAAATCTCAACTGTGAAGCAGCAAGTAAATCATAGTAGTACTTCCTCTCATTCCTATGGTATTACTGGGTTTACCATATCTAAAAATTGAATTTTAAAATACTAAAAATGAATGCATATGCCTGGTTGAAAGGCAATATGGTTATTTTAACAAAAATTACTTGAGTGTTACTGCCTTCAAGCTTTTTATTTACCTTAAGCCAACTCTCACTAAGAAAATTATACCTTAATGAACTTGCTTGAACAATCTCTTTAGGTTCCTTTGTTAACAAGCTGACTAATTGTTCTGGCAGTAAGATGCAATCAGTCATATTCACTTCTGCCTTCCACCATCTCTTCTAGCTGTTGCCATTTCTGTTTGATTTCCTTCCTTTGCTTCTGTGTAACAAAGATACACCTTTGACCTAGAGAATTTCATGTGTATTGAAAGTTGACATCATCTAGAAATTCTTAATTGCAGTATAATTTGTCCTCATCATGTCTCAGAACCTTCTGTAGCTAAACAGGTTTTGCCTTGAAAAATGAAAACAAAACAGAACAAAAACAGGGTCTACCCTAGGGTTAGCTTTCTACCAGTAATTTCTTAAACAGGCACTTAACTGTGAATTCTGATCTCGGTTCATGATCACTATGCAGCCTCATGCCTTCTGAGCAAAGAGAATAGAAGTGGTAATCCTCATCTGACTCAGTTCTGTGAACGGCACTGGAATATATCCGTTGACACACCTGTTGACAAATGAAAACTAAAGTACAGAGAGGCTTCGATAGGAATTCATTCATGTCTGCTTTTCTAGCTTGGTGAATTGTAGACGGTAGGAGAGCACTCAGCTGCAAATTGGAGGGACAGGGTTGCTGGTATTAGGGTTGGGGCTGTCTTTGGCCTTTATCTTTTACAATCGTTCTATTATGTAGTCTACTGGTATCCTATTAAAAACAGCGTTTTGACATTTGCAGCAAAAAGTTTGAATGCTGAAGAAATTAACAACTTTCTACTGAAACAAACTATAATTTTGCCTGTGAGGTTGTTTTTTTCAGTTTTTCATATGAACATTTTATTTCAATGTGACTGTCATCTTCAGATTCACAAAACATCACTTCGTGACTAATACCTAAAGAGAGGGTGTTCACATTCTCAGTGCATAGAGTACAAATAATTAATGTTCTCATGGAATTACCTTTTCATCAAAGTATTTTGTAGACTGCATTTCATTAAAGCAATCCTAACAATACTAGGCATGCAGCAAGTGAATAGGAGATATTTCAGGTCCAGAGACTCAGAGATTAGTGATTGAACAGGGCAGGGAATCACTCTGCTACCCTCTCTTCTTCCCACTGGCTTTCTATAGCCATGTAAGACCCTTACCACCACCCTCTGCCAGCTCAGCTCTCTGTTCTTAAACTGTGGCTGCCTCAGGCTGATTTGGGCCAGGGAAAGGCTAATTTTGTTCAGAGCCATAAGCTAAAGGCAAGAAGTAAAACACCAGTCGTGGGATGATACTGATTTGTTCAATTGAGAGCATTATGGATATGGTTAAAGGAGAATCAGAACACAGATAAAACCTGGTGATTGGTGTACATTTATTTTCATTATTATTAATTAAATATATTTGAACCTGAAGATAAATGTTCCCAAAGGATTGGGTCAATTTACTAATATGTAATGTAATACTTTGTCCCTAAGAAAGTATCATTGTAGCTCATCCTTCCTTGTGCTTTTTAATTAGGTTAATGACATCAGTTTGTTTCAAAGGACAATTTAATTAAAATGTCAGTGGTGTTGCCTAGATAAATACTGTACAGATGCTGACATGTTATTGTGCAAATTAGTCACTGCTGTTTTACTGGTAGGGGATAGTATTTGAGCAACAAGGTGATGAGTTTTCACTGAACGGTTTTAGATTTACACCTGGCCAACTCCTCCTTGAATTCATTTCACTGAATAGTTATTGAGTGCCTTTTCTCCAGGAATCATTGTGGTAGGCATGAAGGGAATGTGAAGATGATCAAGAGTTGGTCACAGTACTTCTGTGAAATGGTACTTGGCCTTCGGTTGCATTTTGGAGATTGTGGACTAGTTTCTTTATTCAGAGGTGAATGTGCAAATATGCATTCAGTCTGCAACCAGATGTCTAATTTCTGATGGCTTTAAGTTTTTCTCCATTTTTCAAGAACAGTACATGCTCAAGTATGTCAAGATCAGTGAAACGTTGGAATAAAATCATTTTTGGTGCTGTTTTAAAGTAGGCTAATTTCTCATTTGGAATTTCAGGATTAAAAAGATACTTTTTATGTTATCTAATATTTTGGTTTAATGGGATTTGATACTCAGTTTCTAGTTACCATGTGTTTTCTGTAGGGTGATTAAAAAGTGAGCTCTAGTTCTCAGATAACGGAGAATTTAAAACTATTTTTCACTCCAACTTTTGGGATTCATGAACATCTTGTAGTAGGGCAGTCCTCTGCATATTCTCAGTTAAAGGAAAGATATAATATTAGAAATAAAATATTTAATTTTGTTTTTGTGGAATGCTTTTATGGCTAAGGTGCCTAGGGATGCCCAAATCCTGTCGTGCTTCCTTGTGTTTTATTATTAGCTATGTGAGTTTTCAATGATCCTTACTGCAGAACTCTAGGCTGGAACCATCTGCTTAGACCTCAAGGCTTGCTTCCCATTTTTTCCTCTGAGTCCCCCCAGTATAAATGTAGCTGTCTTACAGCAGGCCTCATGGAGCAATTAACTGAGGAGAGGTGAACAAAATGACTAAGCATGCAGAGCAGGCCTTCACTGAGCTTAAGCACTCCAAGGTGGGAGGGAGAGAAGGAAGGAGGGATGGATAAAAAGATAGATGGTGAATATGGCTTGGGAATGGAGGGACTAGGCTTATTTGCAGAGAGCCAGGTTAAAAATCTTCATAGCCCCTTGTACTATTCTAGTCTTTTACTGGGGGAGGCAAGGCATGGTTCTTGGATTACTATATGCAGGATTAAAGTTCAGGTCTCAAGTCCAGATTTTGGAGAACATTATCTGTATTTCAGGAACCTATATCATAGACTAAGAACTGTTACTCCATTGCCAGAGTTCTGTTGTGACAGAATTGGCAAACTAAGAGTGCCTTATCAGTGTCCCAGTGGGAACTTTATTCTGTAGTATCCGCTTGGAATTGTGGAATAATATAAAATGGTACATTTTCAAGTGGTGATACATTTAAAAAGTTTGCTTTTTTATGCTAAGTTCAGAAGTCAAACATAGGTTTTATTGCAATATTAGAAGACTACCATTTGGGTTCTATGAAAGGTAATCCAAATAGTCTAAAAACAGGTATTTTTAATTTGCATGTTATCTGGCATCTCCAAATTCTATAACAAACTGGCCTTAAGTTTGATAGGTTAAGAGAAAGAAGGCAAAGATAATAATGACTGCGAAAAGCTGCCACGTGTCAAGCTGTGAGTAAAGTATGCTGTCTAAAGTAGTTTGCTAAAAGCGGGTTCCACACATCAGTGCTTCAGAAAAGCCAGAGGCAATTCTTATTCACATTAACTGTCCTTGGTTGTATTTTCAGAACAAATCGATAATTTTAAATTGGCTAAAGATGACGCAGAAGATAACTTAGGAAATGTAATGTCAAATGATAAAATAAAAACTTTAGGAAGAAAGAATTTAACTATGTAAGTTTGGATTTTTAAGTTACAAAAAGACATAATGATCATACATTGATAAGAAAAGCTTAAAATCAGTGTCAGAAGAAAGGAAAGAAATTGTTGGCATTAAGGAACAAACAGACCTGCATTTACGAGGCTCTGTGAAGGAATGGAAGTGCTTTTTTTTACCTCATCTGCTCCCCCAAAATAACTGTTTCTCTTCTTGTTGTTAATACTCAAAGTCCTCTGTTAGAATTGTTTTCTTTTTAAACAGGGAGAGTCCAGTGGTGAAAGGCAACGCACTGTTAGCCCTAAGCAGCCTTGCTGTTATCGTATCCAGACATGAAACCAGCCTCTCTTCAGACTCTGATGGGGCCCCGGAGGTGAGTTAGGGTGATTTAAACCAATTGGGCTTTGGTGGTGTCTCTTTAAACACAGCCTTAGGTGGCCTGGCCCTGGATTTATAAGGTTAGATTCTGTGATTGCAGCACCAACTTACCCTACTTGGTGGGCCTTCATACTGTGAGACAGCATCTTCCTGATTTTTCTCTGCTATTTTTCTGTTTTGCTTTCTCCCTCCCAGTTAAGTGGTCATTTCTGTGTGAAGGTGCCAATTTTATGCAATGGGTTGTCTTTTTGTGATCACATCAGTGGTAACCAATCTTAGGAGGTTAACTAGGCTTACTGAAAGTGAACAATGCTGTCAAAAAATGATAAATAAGCAGTGTTTATTGACTGAAAAAAATTGTACTTTGCATTTTAATTGTAGATGTCGATGACAAAGTGCCTATTCATTTTTGCAAGGCATTTATTTCTTAATTAAACATGTGGTGAGCTGGCCAATGTTCATTTCCAATGCACTTTCTAAGATAATTCATATCTGTCAAAATAAAAAGGCATGAATTTATTCTTGTTTTAGGCCCCATTATCTGGTCGCTATCATTACCTAGAAACAATAAAGCTGAGTAGTTAAGAAACATAGCCTTTTGAATAGGAGAGTCCTATATTTAAATCCTTTTACTTCCACTTACTAGTTCTATAGCCTATTTCCAGTAATTTCCCCTTTCAGAGCCTATTTCTTCATCTGTAAAATGGGGATAATAATACTTACCAGATAGGATTATTGTAAAGATTAAATGAATTAATATATGTAGAGCACAATGGCCTGTAGATACTAAGCTCTCAATAATAGTAACCATTATTGTTGCCATCGGCATCTACTTCATTATTTCTTGCTGTAAAAGTTGAGACTTTATTTAACCTGTCTTTATTTCCGAGGAGTATCTTATGGGCCATCTTTCTTCATTGTGGGGTTTTGGGTTATAAACTAAGAGACCGACTTTGACTCATTTAAATGAAAACACAACTGTGGAAGGATATGGGATCTGGAAGCCCATGTAATTGAAGGCAAAGCTTAAAAACTGGGTTTTAGAAAAACAGAAACCGCCAGGCTCGGTGGCTCAGCCTGTAATCCCATGCCTTTGGGAGGCTGAGGTGAGTGAATTGCATGAGCCCACGGGTACGAGACCCACCTGGGCAACTTGGAGAAACCTCATCTCTACAATAAAATAAAATAAAAAATTAGCCGGGTGTGGTAGCGCGTGCCTGTAGTTCCAGCACTTGGAAGGCTGAGGCGGAATGATCGCCGGAACCCAGCAGGTTGAGTCTGCGGTGGCCGGGAGCGGCCACTGCACTCCAGTCTGGGCAAGATTCCAACTCAAAAAAAAAATCAAACAAACAAAAAAGAAAAACAGTAACCAAGGCAACTTGGGGAGTCCGGGCTACATTACTAGTGAAGCGTCTCAGCAGATCACCCCCAAAGAGATGCAGCAACTTCAGTAATTTACTGTCCTTGCATCACTCACTTAAAATGCAAAGTCTGTGGAGAGAGTAGGACAGCTAACTTGATTGAACATTTAACCAAGCTTCAAATAGTTGAGAAGAGGGAATTCCCCAAAGGGTGCTATTACCAAGAAATAGAGAATGGGTGCTATGTGGCAAAAGCTGCACATATATATCACATGTAGGGAAGGGAAAGAGGCTAAGATTATTGCATTAATGATAACTATCTAGTTCATTACCATATGAAAATTTAACTTTAAACCTGGAATTTTATTTTAATGATGAGAAAAATGAAAGTTTTATTGAGAGGAAATGTCTCATATCCTTGAAAGAACTAAGGAATACTTTAACAAAGGCAACATACTAAGAAGATCTACAACCTAAAAAGTTAATGACTTTTTCTGTGGTCTCTTCGCTTCTTCGTTTTGGTATTATTTATGCCAAACTACCAGTAATACAATGAATTTTTCCAGTAATAGCAGGTGTTCTAGCTCAGAAGCTTGAGTTCCAACCTCTCTTGGTCTTCTTTACCCTTCCCATCCCCTTTCCTCACACTGAGAAGCTTCACAGTCCAAAGATGAGGCTTTGCTTTTATTCTTGATAACCTTGCCTTTGTTACTCAGTGTAAACTCAAGACCTCATTATTTGACTAAGGCTGCCGATTTGAATTAATATTTTTCTAAACTGAAGACTATTTGTTTTCCTATCTAGTTTTTCAGTTAACTAGGTGAAAGTTGCCAAGTTTCTCAAATGACAACTGAATAGTAATAGTAAGCAGAATGCTACAGATAGTAATACAAATTTTGTAGGCTGCTTATTGTCTCCTTTATGAAATAAGAAGTCATAAACTTGAGAAATTTTGAATTGTGTGTTTTGCACATCTCTCCCTTTAACCTCCACATTATCCTCACTATAGTTCACTCAACACAGGATAGCTCTGAAGGGCTCTTTAATAGTTCTGTTTTGCAGCCTCCATTCTCTTACCTCTGCTAAGTCTTGCATAAAAGGTAAATCTTACTTCTTTTGGGGCACAGATGAGGATGTGTATTTGTCAGATACCTTTTCATCTCATACATGTATGCTCATAGTCCAAGCAGATGAAGTTTTCCTTCTGATGACAACATTTTTTATTTAATATAGAAGGGGATTTTACCCTCGATGTATGAATAATCTTTAGATTTGTTTTCTTTTTTTAATTATCATTTTATTGTTTCCTAATCTTCAGGTTCAACCTAACTTCATTTCAATGAAAGAGTGGGTTTTCATGGTGCTTGATACTCTCTTGGTCATTGTGGATAGCCATTACCAACCCAGAGGACAACTTTTCTCCTGGTTTTATTATGTAAGTGTGAAAAGTAATAAATGATCAGAAAACTGAAATTTGACTCTTCTAACATCAATTGTTCATAAAATCCATGATACAGTGCATGATTCTCAGCCCTGGCTGTACATTAGAATCACTTAGGAGACTTTAAGTGTTTATATTAATGTGTAGTCTCCACCTGTGATTTAATTGCTCATGGATGGATTTTGGGCATCCACATTTCGAAAGCTCTCTAAGTTATTCTAATGTGTACTCAGATTCAAGAGCTACAGTTATAGTAAGATAAACACTGGCTGAAATGTAGAGGTCCTACGTTTCTACTCATAATTTTTTTTAAAAAATTATTTTAGGATGTGTGACTATGGGTAAGTGCACTTAACATCTTTGAGCCTTTTTGTCCTCATTTATAAAATAAGTGGATTAACCAATATCATCTTAAAGATTGTAGCCTTCACTCCATCTCTTAATAGTTTTATGACTGTTGACACCTACTTAGCCCCATTATTCTTATTTTCCTTGCCTGTAAAATTAAAGTAAAAATTAGTGTTTTGCCAACTTTCTAAAAGGTTGTGAAGATCAATTTATACATTTACGTAAAAATGTTTTGAAAACTGAAATACTCTGAAATACAAAGTAATGTTGATTATTTAAAAAAAAAAAAAAGGCACCTTTTCCCCATTCTTTGTCTGCATGCTTATGTCCTAACCTTTGAAGCAAAGTGAGAAAACTTTTGTTTAGGCTTCATTTTCCCTTTACTGATTGTAGTGTATGCTTTATTTCTGTGTCTGTGTAGAATTAGTTTTGGCTCTACACTATCACTATCCATTACTTAGGGAATTATAATGATCATGAGACTATCAGCTGAGTGGCAGAGGATTACAGTTGATTTGAATAAAAATATAGCACAGATTCTGAATTGTTGCTGAGATCACTAATTTAGCCTGAAACCTCATTGCCTAAGGTCTTCTTTATACTTTTTGTGTGCCTCTGTCCTCCTGTCCTTGGGGAGACCTGGTATGTATTCATCTGGGATATTGGGTCTGGAGCTAGATTTTTTAACCATACTTGAGGTCAAAAATGACTTACCAGATGATGTAGAAAATTAAATTGGAAGGTAAATTTTGCTCAAAAAATTAATTTCTTTGTGATGATTTGTTTTGTCAGAGTGTTCTTATTCCTTTATTGATGGATGAAAACTTGTTTATATGCTTATGTGGAGGTCTTTGTAATAACTGGTTCAGATATTTACCAGATCAGGAGCTTGTATGAAATTTTGAATATGCTTTTTAGTTCTTGCAAGCCAATAAAAATAATCTCCTTATTAGCCGGATCTGGGTTTCCTCTTACCTTTGTGATTTTTGCATTATTATACTTTTCAAAACCCTGTTCCAAAAGTCACTATATTTCCTATGTTAGCAGCTGGGTCATTTTGGGTAGCATTGTCATTACAGTAGGGCTGTATTAACTTAAAGTGTAACTTAGCACATGTTTGATTTTTATCCTTAAAGTTCTAAAGCTTAGAGATTAATTGGGCCCAGAATAAAGAACACATTTCAATGTGCTTTGACTGCAAGGGACAACACTGCCTTTATGGTATGTCTGAAAATTTTAAATGGATAATAGTAAGAAATGATAAATTGGCTTTCTTCCCCACTTGAGACATACTTATAAATGTATATAATGTCTGGTAGAGCTCTTTAACATGAGATTCTTATAGAAGCTGTTCATATTCAGCTGCCCTGTCATTCTATTAGGGCTGTAATTCATTTCTTCTCCTATAATTGCATATAGGAAGGGGCATATAGAGCTCTCCATTTCATTTTGAATAGCTGGTTATTGCTTTGTAACCAAAGGCTTTTAGGATTTTAACTTCCTTTTTAATTAAAAGGAATTAACCCCCTGTAGGAAATAATCCATCTACTGGGAAGTGTTCCCACAAAAAATTTTGGGAGATTTGCCAATAGATCCCTGTGCTAAATTTATACTTGTTTCTCCATACTAAACTTAAATTGTTTTCCCCCTTTTTCTTTCTTTTCTGGAAAACTCCCACCTTTCTGGACATTTGCAATGTGGCTTGGTGGTTTGTCCAAGCTCAGACAGCTTCCCTCTGAGTTTATATATGTATATATGGGCTTTTAAAAATATTGAAATTATTTCCAGCTACAGTGAGGGAATTCAGTCACAACCTTTAAAAGGAGGACATTTGTAATTTTTTTCCTGAATGTAAAAGGATACTATTAACTGATTATTTAGTACCAAACTGTCTCATTAAGAGTGTACACATTACCTAGAGGTAAACACATTTAGGTTTTCTAACATTATTGTTGTTATTATTATTATTTTTTTTTTCTTGGAAGAAGTGGGTCTAAGAAGCTTGTATTGTTGTATAGTGCTTTTGTGATAGATATGCTCATTCATGTTTTAAACAAAAGGCTAACCCCGTTTTCTTTCTTTGTCATGTCCAAGAAATCCTATTCTGGTGAAAACACAGCTAGTGCCATTGCCCGTTCTGCTGCCGCCACGGCTTTGTCTCTCCTTGTGCCAGTTTTCATTATCTCTTGCAAAGAGAAGGTTGAGGAAATCCTAAACATGCTGACTGCCAGGTTACCTGGGAAACCAAGTGCTGATGAGTCTCAAGCCGTGCAAATCCACATGGGCCTTGCTTTGGGGATGTTTCTCTCTCGTTTGTGTGAGGAGAAACTCAGGTACAGTTTATTAAAATATTTCTGCTTTTCCTCTTTGTGATTTTTGGCAAAGAATTTTGCACCCATATGCACACATACATAAACATTGTATTTGAGTAATATGTGGCTGCTAAACTTTTTGAGATGGGCAAGTTGATCTTTTATTCTGCTTTATGCATGAAGTAGTCTTTCTAAAATACCATCATATAGATATGGATGTATTTTTAAGGGTTGCTAGTATTAACGTGATTGGTTACTTGAAAGTCACTTGATGCTTAGATGAAAGCCCCAGGTACCTCTGTGAAATAAGTGTGAAAAGAAGTCTAATCTTGTGGTGCTAAAAGTAAATAAAAGCTTCTTTTTGTGTTTTATATGGGATGAAAATAATTGCTGATCTTTTATTGATACCACTGTAAAGCGAGAGGAGAGGATTGGTGTATCCCTGGTGCCTAAGGGGTGTTGGGAATCACTGAATCACCTGAGAACTACATGTACCCAGCTTTAAATATTGCTTTTATCCTGTGCGTTGGCTACATTTTTATAATCCTTAAAGAGTCTTAATCTGTGCATATTATACTGTGTGCTTTATTCAATTTGCTTGCTCATTTTTGGTAGCTTTATCCTTGAATGGAACTAATGGAACATCAAAGTCTCAGATGGAAAATTCCACCAAATGAGAGAGTTTTCTTGTGTTCCAGTCTCCTTTGGTTTTGTTGTTCATACTGTTCTTTATTTTATAGCAAATCTTAGAATTTTATATTTCTGCATTGATTGTAGTAGGACATAGCATGAAAATTTACTTATCATGAAGATTTCAATGCCAGTGAGTTGGAATTTAGCCCTGTTTTTCTGCATTATAGGGGAGAGGCATCTTGTTGTGATCCTAGATGTCCTTAAACTTCCCCTATTGGCAGAAATTAGCTGTATGAAGGCAAGAACTGGTGTTGATGTGGATAAACTGTATGGCATTATTCTATATTTTAATTTGAAACCAAGTTTACATTTGTAATTTACATAGTTTTCCACAAATACCAGTATGTGAAACTTTCATGAGAATTGCTATTGATCTGGGGGAATACTATGTTTCAGATGATCATTTTCAGCTCAGAAAACACCTGTCAAATGATTGGGATGATTGGCTTAGTCTTTGCAATCATAAGTGAAAATGTCCAGAATATTCATTTTGTCCTGTTTATCAGCATTAATATGGATAGGCCTGGTTCTAGACACAAACCAAAAATTGTCCTTTGCATGTGATTTGACTGTTACATATCTTGTGTGTGTGACAGAACACAAAGCCTTTTTAAAGACTTAAAACTTGAAAGTGATTTTTTTTCCCTTAACTACTATGCTACAGATGACAGTTTCTTCACCATCTGTGTTCATGCTTTTTCTTCGGTATCTTTTCAAGCAACATGTTTTACAACCAAATATGAGCCATGGCAGTTTAAGTCTAGGCAATTCATTTCATCCTATCCTGGCTCTAGCTCTCTCCTTCATTAACTTAGGATGAGATTCTGCTGGTTTTAGGGCTGACAAGCTTGAATTTGTGGTTAATTTAATCGTACAGCCTGGAAAAATCTATGGTGATTCCCCCAGAACCCTTGTCCCTGGTTCCTAGGTTGCCTTCCACCCCATCTAGCTTACTTGAATTCACACCTGCAGGAAACCCTGAGCAAGGATTTCCCATGGCTGGGCACCCCCAGGATAACTGCACATTTAACTTTTGCCCTAGCATTCCTGTGTTTGATGACATCGTCCTTCTTCAGGCTCGTGTATTAATAATGCCATTGCTAGTATAATTATTCCCCACCTTCCCAATTGGTTGGAGCAGAAGAATCTGAAATATTTGCCTTTGGTACTAATAAATATTTTACTGGGCAATGACAATACCAATAGACAGTGACATTTGTGGAGAAACTTTTCATTTGTTTTGAAAAGTAAATGTTTTGAGAGTTGATTCTCAATAGTCTCGGTGACATCAAATAAGTGTCCCCAAATGGTCTCTTAATGAGAACACGGTTAGGACAATATATTGGTTCTCAGACAGTGAAAAATCACCTTGTAGAAGAGAATTATGACAATTGGTTCATTTTTGCTAAGGCTTATGAAAAAGTTTCCTGAATTTAACTTCCAACCTAGAATTTATTCAGTAAAGTACTGTATATTAATCCAAAGCTTCTTGTTTCTGTCATAAACACCAGAAAATACAAGTATAATTTTTTTAGCATTTGGTTCGGATACTTAAGTATAATTTACTCCAGAGGGCAACTTTAATATGATTTATTTAGTTAAATCTATTAAGTTTCTGTGTGTGATATGAGGGGAATGTGTGTGGGTGTTTCTCTCATTGTGAAATGTAATCCTTTACCTTGGGCGAAATTGCTATAGTCTTGGTTTGGCAAGCTCTTTTTAAAAGTGCTTTCTGGCTGGTTGTTATTCCTGGGGCTGCATTCTACTTAGCATGATCTGAAGTAGCAGTATGTGAGTTAGGATGTAGGAACCCCTTGATAATAAGATTTCGGTGATGAAGCCCACAGATCTGCCTAAAAACACAATCAGAGCTACTTTTAAGTTGTATTTTACTATACAAGTCATAGTTCTTACCAAGATAATTATAGAAACAATACCAGTTACTGTATAAAAGAAATAGGGCTAAGAGAATTTTTCCCTCTTTAAAAAAAGTATAAGTTAAAAGAATAGAATTTATAATCTCTATATTGAGACATAAAATCAGAAATGACAGTCTTTGCAAGAAGGAGGTTGAGAATGATTATTGGTAATATTATCTTAATAACTTATTAAATATTGTCAAGAAAATCACTTTAGCAGTCTTAGAAACACTTATTTTGAATTTTTGGTTTTCAGTGTTTTTATTTTTCAGTGATTTAACATTTGAACAGGCTGAGAAAAATCAAAAGTAGGAAGTTTAGGGTTTATTGGTTTTCAAGTGAGTATTCTGTTCAGAAACCCAATTATTAAATAATTTGTCAGACTTCATTTCTCTAACTATAAAATAGGCATAAATGGATAACCAATATTATTCTTACTTTTTTTTAAGGAGAAATACTGTGTTTCCTGTAAAATATTTTGTATTAAATCTTTTGGACAGTTGAATAATTTTAAATGATTTATTTTTTTCCCCTTGGTTTTTACCCAGTGATATATCTGGGCAACAGATGAACCTTCTTCTGATGAAGTCTTTGGATGCCCTGGAAAATTGCTGCTTTGACAGTAGTCTTGAATACAAGTATGTTGTTTCCATTTCCTCTCTAACAGATTCTTAGAGATTAGTTTCTACACTGCCATAAATCTTATATGCTATGATGAAATTTGTAGGACCTGATCTTAACTTCCTTTGCAAAGTTTTCATTAATAAATAATTTTTAAAAACTAGTAATTAAAACTTCCTTGTTCTGAAAACTATGTTCCAGCAATACAGAATTTGCTTAAATTCAAAGCAACAAATGTCACTTTTGGCTTAGTCTTTATATTACTAAGACCTTTGTTTCATTTTGAACTTACCATATGAGGTATACATATGGGAACCTGGATGCATGACTTCACCTTTTTAAAGATCTGTTGAGCTGGGCTTGGTGGTTTAGCCTGTAATCCCAGCGCTTTGGGAGGCCGAGGTGAGTGAATTGCTTGAGTCCGCGGGCTCGAGACCCACTTGGGCAACTTGGTGAGACCTCATCTCTACAATAAATCAAAACTTAACCGGGCATGGTAGCACACACCTGTAGTTCCAGCTACTTGGAAGGCTGAGGCAGAAGGATTGCAGGAGCCCAGCAGGTCGAGGCTGCGGTTGTCGGGAGCAGCCACTGCACTCCAGTCTGGGTGACAAAGTGAGACTCCAACTAAAAAAAATAAAAATAAAAAATAAGAAAGAAAGATCTGTTGAGACCATTGAATTTGATTGAGCTATGGGAACCTTTGATTGATGGTTTATGTTTCCAATCCAATGAGTAAGGAATCAAATGGAAACATACAGGTTACACCAGGGATTCTAAACCTACTTAATGTTGAGACCTCATGCTTTTTAGTGATTTTGTTTGTTAAACTAAATATCTTTAAATTTATTTTCTCATTCTAGGAATGAAATATAGCAAAAATGAAAGGGGATAATCAGAAAAGAATACTTTTTAAAAAACAGTGTTAGATATACTTGTTTAGTGAGACATTTAATGTTTCAGTTAGTCTGTATGGGTGAATATAATGGTCTTGTTTGGTTTTCTGAAATATTGACATCATTGAAGACCTACATCATAGCTTTTTGGACTTCCACCTTTTGGAACCTCAGGTTTGAATCCTCTGGGGTTTATCGTTACCAGGAAACTCAACAGATAATAAGCACTAACCCCCAATGTATTACCTCATTTGCCTTTTGCTATTATGGGCACTGTTCAAATATGAATTAAATTAGTGTTTACATTTCTAGCCTTTATGAAGTAGGGAAAAATTTGAGTTTAAGCTGCTGCAAACTTTCAACCAGTTGTAACAATCAGGAATGACTTTCAGATATTGTCTCTTAGTTTGCCGGAAAGTTGCTTGAATGTAAGAATCATGGGGATAACTGAGTTACCTACTGTATAGATATTTAGGTACTTAAAAACATCATGTGTCTAAGCATATTTAACTCTAAATTTATTTTTGTTACTAATGCGATTCTTATTTCTTCATTCTTACCTTCTTTCTTGACTCTTGCCTTCTTAATGAGCAACTATATAGGGGGAGAGAATGGTGGGCCCGAAGAGGGAACCAAACATTCCTGCAGAGGAAAGTATAATAGGGCCATCACAAACTTCCTGTTTCACATTTTTTAAATGTGAAAACTTTGTTGTCTACCAGAGACAAATTAAAAACTCAAGTCCTTCAAGAAACTCTTCCTCTTTTCTCTCTAAACTGCTATTCCTACAATTAATGGAGTTTAGTATTTTGTTTTTCCTAATGCTTTGCGAGTGTCAGTCCTTTTATAGTTCTTTTTCTCCGGTTTAACTAATACTTACTGAGCAGCCACATACTGAGCTAGGCGTTTCCACATCTGCTTCTCTTGTAATTGTGTCCTTGTCACAACCTAGATATAATACTGAAGTAGGAGTCATCATCCCTTTGTCTACAGATAGAGAATGTGAATCTCAGAACACCTGTTCAAGGTCATGTGCTTAGTAAGTGGCAGAGCTAGGAGGAGGGGGGAACCTGGGTCATCTGACTTCAAAGCAATTTTTCTTTCTCTTGCATAGTACAAACGTGGAGAACACGCTTCAGTAGAAAGAGAGCAGTTTGCTGCTTGACAGTATGGTGTTTGTTATTTATTTATTTTTTCCTGACATGCGAGTGTTGCCCACTATTTTAAAAAAAAATCATTTTTTTCTGCTTTTCTAAGTAGGCCCAAGCTTGAATGCCCGGTTCATGGCAAAGTATTCCCTTGTCTAATGAGATTGCAGGAGTCTAGGGCAGTCCTCCCTCAAGTGAAATAGTAGAAGTGTTACCGGGAGGAAGTTAATAGACCTGGGAGTATGCTACCTCAAGTGATAGAATTCACCCAGAGCAAATTCACCACGCTTCCCTGATTTAATGGGCATGTCCCTGCTGAGAGCACCCAGCACCTGGGCTGGCTGGTGTTTGTGATCCTATCACTAACATTTTGCTGCCATCTAGTGGTAACTCATTGTGCCATTGTGCTCCTCACAGCCCTAACTGTAGTCATGCTATCCATCAAAGACCCCGGCTTTGGTTAATTACTATTGAGCTTTTACAAATACGATAACATTTGTATAGCGCTTTGTAAAGGGCAAAGCGCTATACAAATGTTAACTGTTATTGGAACTAATTATTAGATGGCCTAGTACTTAATCTGCAGGATTGCCTACAATAAACTAGGGAATTCAAGATTCATCTCTGGCTAATTTCAGAGAAATATACCATTATATCTCAGTTGATATAGCAACACAAATATCAGAATTGCATAGCATTTGGATGTGAGGATTTCTTTTTATTGGTGATATTTTAATATACTCTGACAAGACATTCAGTAAGTAATGGCATGATAGGATATAGAATTTTTAAACTCAAGTCCTCTTTATTATTTGTAAGCAATTCCAAAAGCTTAATTTTTTACTTACTATTATAACTTGTTTTTATTTCCTCTGTCTGAGACACTAACACTTAACTCCTTTTTGTGGTCAATGGACAGAAAGATATGAAAGCTATCTCTGCCCAAGCTATTCTTGGTTTAGAGCTGGCAGACGTATCAAAGAGAAGCTAGAATGAAGTAAATGTGTGGTTAAGCACATGGGGGAAATTTTTAAAACTTTGGACAAAAACAAACACATTAAAATATAGAGGAGTTGGAAATCAGAAGGAAATATTGGGAATAAAGCTTTAGGATTACTTTCTTAGTGTATACTGTAAAATGAGACAAAGCAGAAGAAAACTTTTAAAAGAGCTATAGATATATATACTCCAACATAGTTACATTGGCACGTATATATACATATATAGTTATTCATGTGTTATACCAGTCAGTTAGCTACCATTGTGGAAGTGAATAGAATCGCTAGTGAATTATAACCTTGACTAGGAAGAAGAAGAATTGTTATGATAAAATTGAGGTAAATGAGAACTAGAAACCAAGATATCTTTTTCTAAGCCTTGTTGCCCGTATACCTTGAGATAGTAAAGGACGGACTTCAGTCCAGGGAATAGAGATTTTTGTGTGCTCAGGATAGCCTGAAAAATCAAGACTTAGATGCTTGCCTGTTCATTGAGAAAGATAAACCCCAATACTTACTTGAGTGAGCTTTAAGATAAATTACTTTCCACATGAACCCAACATCTCTCTTCCTTAAATTAGTCTAGCAAGAAATAGAAGTTGAGTTTTCTGGTTGGACCTTAGATGCTGTGTTCAGTGAATTTTACCACTCATAAATTGTGCCGCCTACTAAACATAAGAATCAAATCTTGTTTTTTGTTTTTGTTTTTCCTGTAGCTCTTCTCTTCACTCCAGATTCTTAAATTATTCATTTGGTCAATTCTTAAACTTTCAATAAATATTGATTGAGTACCTATATGTGGCCAGCCATTTACTAGGTATCACAGATTCTGTAGTAAGGTAGAAACGGAAAAGTTACCGATCCTTATGGAGCTTGAAGGCTAGGGAAGAGAGTAATCAAACAAGCCCCCAAATAATCCTCATCAGAGTTTATAATTAAAATTGTATGAAGTAAATTAGAACAGGGTGCTATGGGAGAGTATTAAAGTGGTTCCCTGCTGGGCCAGGGACAGCGTCCCTGAGGAAGGAACATTTAAAATCTTAAGCATAAATAGCATTAAATAGTCAAAGAGGAAACTACAGTCAGATCTATCAAAGTATTAATCACATTTTGTCAAATTACATCTTTGCTCTAATTCTGTTAAATTGTTATATGCATCAAAATAGAAAGATAGCCCAAAACTTCCCTGTAGATTCTAAATTATAACAAGTACATACTATTAAGTATTATTAAGTACATACTATTCAAGAGTAGCTTTTCTTCTTTTGGAAATGTGATTAGTCTCAAAAGCATGCTGTACTCAAGTGTTAGATGTTGAATTAACTGTTTCAAAATGAATTGTGCTGGTTGAGATTTGTTAAGTTCATGTAAGCTGCAACAGCAGTTCTGCCTGACTAATGATAGATTATTACTGCAGTAGCCTCTTTATGAAGGACTTTCTAATACCAGACTGTTATGTAACAGAAACTAGAAAAACACACATGAGATATGTTGCCTTCTCATAGGCGTTCCATCATGGCATCATGTAGGGCACCAGAGGGGCCTTGGGTTTGACAGATGTAACCGAAGGCTGGGAATAAAAACCTCCCTTGTTCTGGCTGTGCTCTGCTAGAAGCTCTCTGTGTGACCTTGAGTGAATCCTACAGCCTGTCCATCCTTCGGGGTGTCTCTTGTCAGATGTGGCTGCTCCATCTGCACAGAGCAGCCACATATGACAAGAGACACCCCGAAAGTAACTCACACCCTGGGGAAAGTAACATGTCCATAAAATGATGCAGTTTCTTGATTTCAGTTAAGGGGATAGATGCCATTTAAAAGCAAAATGACATAGCACACAGGCATTGAGATACATTATTGGAGAAATGCCCTGGAGTGTCTTCTTCAACAGCAGATATCATCATGAGAGGCAAGTCAGACAAGAGTGAGGATAATTTCTGGTAAACCCAGCATTTAAAAAACAACAATGATAACAAAAAAATTTTTTTAAGTAAAAAATTGCCACAAGCTGCATTTTCATATCATTCTAACTTGAAGTTTTCTGTGAGAACAATTCTTTTCTTTAAACGAATCTTTAAATGGATATGTATTCTTTCAGGAGAATTGGTGCACAAAGCCCCCAGATTTCAATTGAATTGTCACATAGGGTAACTTTTGACAAGCTGTCATTTGTCCATTTTCTCTCCTGACCCAGTGGTACTCCAGAGATCAGAGGGGAGAGAAGGATTAATGTCATTGTGCACAGACAAATACACAGTTTCTTTAAGAAAGAAATTCCATTTGTCAAAGTTGACTGGGAAACACGACACCCTTAGCAGTACCTCTGCGTCATGCCTTGCTTTTATCGCTTCTGTTATTAGTCAGCTGTCCTCAGCTTATATCCAAACATTTAGTGTACTCAACATGGAAATGGGAGGCAGAGAGAACTACAGTTAAGGGCAGAAATAGAGCTGATTCAACCTTTTCCTCTCCTCACCATAGAGTTTAGGTCAAACTGTTTTTGTTTATTTTTGCCCAAGGGATATACTGCATGAGCCTGTTTCAACATAAATTTTTTCCTTTTGTGGGAAGAAGGGGGCATACCTATCATAGATCATGGGACCTACTAGACAGCAGAATTAGATGCCAGCCAGCTTACCTCAGGTGTCAGAGCACTGTAAACCCCCATGGTAAGTGAAGATCAATGATGTGGATCTCTTATGATTCTAACACCTCATCTTCTTTGGCATCTAAGCACGGGCTGTATATTGGGAGTTGGACTTGTTCTGTCCCTCATGAGCCACAGCAGCCAAATGGAGTCCCGAGTTCATGTGGCAGCATCGCTTCGGAAGCTGTCTGCATACCTGGATGACAGTGGGAGCCAGAGCAGAACGTTTCAGGAGGTAGGAGATGGAGGTTATATTTTCCCCCCCTCTGTTCTCTTTTGTTTGTTTGTTTCTTGTTGCTGCTTACTTTTGACTTCTCATTTTGGTAACTCTGTAAATTAAATTCTTCCTCAAAAGGAGAAAATGTGAGTGGCAAGCAACCTACATTAGATCATAAGGTTTTCCAAATTATGTGGCTTGTTTAAATCAATTTAGGCTTAAATGTGGCATAGAAGATAAGAGTCTTGGTGAATACAAAAGCCTGAGTCAGCATCACTAGAAGGCACTTTCTAGGAAGAGCTGCAATTTCAGGAAGAAGGTTAAATGGAGATTTTTTAGAATGGTGCTCAAGCCAAATATAACTTTTAAAAATGGCCAAGAATAGCATAAGAAACTGCAGGTTGAAAGGCATTTGCTCTTTTTAAATGTCAACTAGCATTAAAAAAAATTTAAGGAAATTTCTTTTGCTAAACTTGATGAAAAGGTTTTTCTGTTAGGTACAAAAATATATAGAATTGGAGTTCATATGACCCACCCCACGGTGTTAACCATGTTTTTAGATGGAACATTTTAGGCATGTGTCACGCCCGCCTCTGTTGTGCCCAGGTGAAGCTGAACCGCCTGTGCTCTTCTTTGGGAGGAGCAAGGGATGACCTTGTGGCCTGGCCAGATTCTCCCTCTCATTAGAGCAGATTCTATTTCATCCCAGCCTGCCCACGAGCTATTGATGAGTACATAATGGCTGCTGTGTTTCCCTGCTCAGCTTCTGCTTTCAGCAGTAGAACTTGTTGAATTGGTGAATTTGTTTGGGGCACAGAGGGTTGAAGTTTTGTTCTAAGACATGCACTCCATTTACATTTTTAAAGCGGTGGAGAGCATGAGCTTAAAGTATGTATTTGTTTTTTAGCCAGAGTAGAAAAATCTTGCAACTGAGGGGCAAATTGATTAATAAATTAAAGCAAGGTTTTTATAACTGATGCATCTGTCTGCCTTGATGTTTTGATTTATAAGATCTTAAGCAAGCAGTTTTGGGTTGTTGTTTTTTTTTCCTCCCCTTTGATATTTTATTATCCAATTTCTACCTTAGAAACCTCTTACATTTTTCATGCTGTGTCAACCAGCACTAAGAGTTGAGTTTTCTACTTTGTCTTAACAGTATCCTTATAAGGAAGGGTTATCATGAAAATGTGAGGTAGAGGGTGGAGATAATTAACCTTGATTTACAAAACTGACACTCAAATAGATTGAGTGACGCCCAAAGTTACTTAGTAAATGGGCAATTTGGGATATATGTCCAAGTATTGTCTTCATTGCCAACATTCTTTATTTATTCATTTGTTTATTCAGTTACATATTAAGTTCTTACACTAGTGCTGTGATGTAGGTAGTCTTATTCCTATTTTATATAATCAATCTGACTCCAACACCCACATTCCTGTTGCAAATATACTCCACTACTTTTCCTAATATGAGTTTCACTTCTCTGGATTTTCTCTCCTGTTTAGCCTTGGATAGGAGTGCTTGGCAGTTAGCACCCACTGGTGATGGAAATTTGTTTCCTTCTGCTGTTGATAGGTACTGTGCTCTGACATAATGAGGAATTTTTTTTGTGTCTCAAGACGTGGGTTTGAGTTCCTCCTCTGTCACTTGCTAGCTATGTGTAATTAAGCCTCAACGTTCTTACCTATAAAGTAGGAAAACTGTTATCCATCATAACATAATATATATAATTATGATCATATAAAATCATCATATATTTTTATGAAATATATTAATGTAAGCTAGGCAGTAAACAGTGCTCAGTCTATGGTAGATTTATTTGAGTCCAGTTCTTATTCTGGGGAGAGGTTTGACAGAATATCTGTGTCAACTAAGCCATGTTCTTTTACTTTGCCTCCTGAAGAAATATCTTTCTGTTGTATTGTCTTCTTAGGTACTTGCCTACACCCTTAGCTGTGTATGTACGTCAGCATTCAGTGTTGGCATTATTGAGGCTGCAGAAGCAGAAGATATTATGAACAAGCTTCAACTGTTAGTAGACAACAACCAGCAGGTTGGAAATGTGTGCCCTGATTATTTCTCTGTGTGGGTCTCATACTGTTGCTAAATCTTGCTTTTGACTTACTCTGAATTAGACTTTAATGGGATTTTTTTGTGTGTCTAGAATTGAGGAACTTCTGACTATTCTCTTCTCCCACAGCTATGTTCAATAGTCACAGGTGTCTTTTTAGCCTCATCTGCTATCTCACTCTGTAGATGTTTCTTTTTCTTTGAGAGAGTACTGATAAGCTTTTCTCTCTCTCCAAACATTGTTCTATCTATAGTTATAAAATAATAAAATATGTGACTGGGAAATATAAGAGTTATGTAAGACTAGAGACAAAAATGTATAAAGATATGAATAAATAGGCCAGGCATAGTGACTCATGTCTCTAATTTCAGTACTTTAGGAGACAGAGGTAGGAAGACTGCTTGTGGCCAAGGGTTTGAGACCTGCCTTGGCAATGTGGCGAGACCCCATCTCAGTAATAAATAAATAAACTCTATAAATGAATAAGCAAGCAAGCCATGTATGGTGATACATACCTATTGTCCTAGCTACTCAGGAGGCTGAGGTGGGAGGATGACTTGAACCTAAGAGTTTGAGGTTACAGTGTCCTTCAGCCTGGGTGACAGAGGAGAATCCTGTTTCTAAAAAATAAAAATAAAAATAAAATAGTATGAATACATAGATGACTTTGATAAAGTCAAACTTCAACAAATTCAAGGCAGAAGGCTGAATATGTATAGGAATAATTAAATACATATACATTAAATTAAATTAAATACCTTTAAAACATTCCCTCTGAAATATTCTTCAACCTTGAAATGGAAGAAAGTTTTGACATGTGCTACAACATGGATGAACTTTAAAGGCATTATGCTAAGTGAAATAAGCCTATCACTAAAAGGCAAATATTGTATACTTTTTCTTATGTGCAGTACTTACGTAATCAAAAACATAAGAGACGGAAAGTAGAATGGTGGTTGCTAGGGGAGGGGGAGGAGTGGGAAGTTATTGTTTAATAGGCATAGAGTTTCAGTTTTACAATATAGAAAGGGTTCTGGAGATAGATAGTAGGATGGATGAGTATTTTTAATGTCACTGAACTTGTATTCATGGTAAAGGTAGTAAATTTTGTATTTATTTTGCTACAGTTAAAAAATTTGAGAAAATATTCCCTCAGATTATAAATGCTATAGAAATTTCCCATTTGGATTGTTTTTAAAGGTTTCGCCAAAGTTTTGATATTGGTCATGGTGGGTTATTGCAGGCTTCACTGATTTTAAGCTTATAATATTATTGATACTATTCTATGGTCATTTGCCTGTGCGCTTATATTGATAAACATTTTGCAATATCAAAATGTAGACATTTTTAGATGCTGTGCTCATTATGGAATGTTTTCTCTGTTTAGGAGTTAATTGACCTTGTGTGGTCTACTTTAGTATTTTCACCCTGAACCCTTCCGAGAATTTTGGATTGAACTAAGTCACTCAATAGTACGGTATTACTTTCCTAAAATAACTTACTCACTGAAGCTAAAATCTTTACAATTTGGCTTTGTAGTTTCTGTTGCCAAAGTCTAGATAAAAATAGCAATGATAAAAAAATCTTGAAATCTCTGACATTTAGACAACAAATAGAACTTGTTGGTAGGAAAGGGAGTCTTAGAAATACTTACCTTGTTATTTGTAAACATTTCTAATCTGTGTCTTCTTTTTTCTTTTTCTCATTCCTGTTTTTTATTTATTTATACCAGACTTCAGGTTTTGCCCTGGCATTAGGAAACATAGTTCATGGTTTATCTATGTGTGGACATGGAAAAGCTGAAGACTTGGGCAGCAAACTTCTCCCTGCCTGGATAAGAACTGTTCTAGCAGAGGTAGACGTCGTCACCTATATGCTTTTACACTTTCATGAAAGATAAAGGACTACTTTATTGGACTTTTTACAGAAGTTGCTAAAAGAACAGGCAATTTCAGATGAAAGAGACATATGTACTTTTAATCTCTTATAAATAATGCTTCCTGCCAAACATTATACTTTTTTTTCTTTAAACTGGCTGTTGTGTCAGTGTTTTAATTTTAAAACCTTACATTTTTTGAAAAGTAAAAACAAGAAGGCACCCATGATTAACAACCTTAATCTGTTACTGTATTTTGGTCTGCTGCCATTTTTTGTTCACTTATTCAGGTTGCATTTAGTACCATCTTGACCATTTATTTATTCTGTAGTAAGTTTCATAGAATCCATACCCAAGGACTGATTCCCTCTTGACATATTCTGATGCTTTGTTTTCAGGGCTCTCCCACAATGCTTTGTCTGGCTGCTCTTCATGGCATGGTGGCCTTGGTAGGCTCTGAAGCAGCTGTAATGCAGGTAAAGAAAGGAACATTACAACTGTTGAGGGGAAGAAATCTAAATATGTACATAGCCATAGCAGGAAGATAATATCCAATATCTTTGTATGCTAAGGACAGGAAAATATATGTTCATGGTAGTAGTTATACTGGGCTTTTCAATGCCTTGCTATATGAAAAATTGCTCTTGACCAATAATAATTCTTTCTATAGAGTTTTGTTCCTTGTTTTATTTGGCTTGTAGCAATTAAACCTGGTCGACTTAGGTACTTGCCACATATTTCCCTGCTTGCAAAAAAGTGATTGAATGATAAGAAATTTTCAAAAGTCATTTACAAGAAACTCCATTTTGCATCTGTAATGTTTAGGTTTATATCTTGTAGTTGTTCTTTCACTTCAAAATGTTTTAAAAGTGGATGTATGTATGTGTAAGTTTACAAATAATTCTAAAGTTGCTCATTAGTTTATACATTAAAAGTTTATTGAGTTACTGCTACATGCCACACTGAACAGGTGTGGGGAAATCAGTGACAGAGAAAGCATGGCCCTTGACCTTGAGGAGCTCACGGTGAAATATAAGGACATAATGATAAACTATTCCATAGCTTAGAAGATGACAGCTTATGTACTGGGAATATTACTTACTTTTGTTGGGGTGGGTGGATGGGTGTTTCTCTTTATCCTTTCAGTTGAAGTCAGAAGCCCTCCAGAGCTCTCATTTTCAAGGCAGACTTAATGAAGTCATTAGAACCTTAACTCAGGTAAGAAGATGAATTTAAAATCCTTGGGTGGAAACACAGATGATCCCCCTTTGTTGTCTGTTTTTTCTATTACATGATACAGAATGTTTTTCCTATTACATGATACAAAATGGGAAAGTCTATTATTAGTCATGCTGAGTTAAAGAGGCATTTATTTGGGAGTGGTATATGCTTCTGTATGCACTAACACACATACATTGCCTCGGGGAAAAAAAGAAACCTGGCACTTTTTAGTTAACTTAATCTGGCAGTGGTTTTCTTTAAAAATTAAAACCTGACTCTGCAAGAAATGGCAGGCCCTCAGGAAGAGGAAAAATGGAAGGTAATCAAAGAGCAGGGCAGGTATCTAGGTAGAATGGTCAAGAAGCATTACTTCAGATGTCACTGATAAAGTATTTGAGTAAATCATCGTTGCTATTCTTGACTAAAGAATAAACGTATTTTTAAATAAATAAGCAAAATAAAAAATAAAATTTAATAAACAAATAGAATCTTTAACATGAAAACTTTCATCTGCTGAGAAATGTTTTCACTTTTAAGATTTTTATTTAGGGAATTATTATGTTCATTAAATAAAATTTGAAAGTACAGAAGCAAAGAAGTTGAGAAAATACCGCTGATGGTTTTCCAAACCTAAAGCAACTGCTACTAGTATTTGATTGTACTTTTTTTTGAGCATTCTTGTTTTGTTTGCATTGTTGGTATTTTTATTGTATATAGAACTTTGTATCTTATTCTTTTCATTTAGTATACTTGTTTGCATTCTTGTACAATGTTGCCGATTAAAATACCTGCCACATAAAAAGTTTGTGTAATTCAGGCTTTTAAAGGCAAACATAAATCTTTGAACAGAATAAACTCTCTTTTGTGTGTATGAATATGAATATGCTCAAAAAAAGAAGTTGCCATACCTTGGGAGGAAAACTGTTATATAAAAAATGCTTATTATGAATGATCAAGCAGTAACAGAGCACTATTTAAAGAAGAGAACAAAATAGTGTCTCCTTTAATTTTTTAGAAGTATTTTTGTCTTAAGTAACTATCACTGCTTTTTCTAATTTTTGGATTTCTTTTTAAACCATTTTTTGAATATTTCTTTGAGACCAATCTGACTCAGTGAAACCTGAGAAAGCCACTAGTACTTTCTGCCCTGATGAAATAATTGAGTGATTGACTCATTAATTCAACAAGCATCGGTTGAGTACTTATATGACTCAGGTATAGTATACTAGACACCTGATATTACATCTTGTCATAGGACTACTTATTACCGGCCAAGCCACCACTTCATAAATAACTAGTGACTTTCTGTGAGTGACTGTTTATTGGATAGGACTTGGATCTTATTCCATCATTGAACTGTTACCTTTTCATCTATAGGTCATCAGTGCTTCTGGGGTGATTGGTCTTCAGTCAAATGCAATCTGGCTTCTTGGACATCTTCATCTATCAACTTTGTCCTCAAGTCAAAGTAGAACCTCCGGTAAGATTAACATTCTAAAATACTGGAACTGGAAGGAGGAATTACCAACCCAGGGCTCTATACTTTGTTAAGAGCACTAATCTTCACAACCACCCTAAGTAATGGGTATTACCATCTCTATTTTACATCAGAGCAAAATGGGATCTGGAGAGGCTTCCAGCCTTACTCAGGGTCATGTAACAGTAAGTGGTGGACATGTGGTTTGAACTCAGATCTACTGAACTCCAAAGCTCATGTTCTTTTTGCTCCTCTACCTTTCTAGAGTTTAGTTTAGACATTCAGTGTAACCCCCATATTTCACAAATGAAGAACCCAGGCTCAGAAAGATTGCACAGCTTACATACAGCTACTTTAATGACACATCTAGAAATGGGGAACCAGGTCCTTGAAGCTCGAAACAGACTTATTTTATTAGATGTAATGGTAATTTGTATAGTATTCATGCTTCATTAAAAGTCTCTTCAAGCCGGGCTTGGTGGCTCAGCCTGTAATCCCGCGCGTTTGGGAGGCTGAGGTGAGTGGATTGCCTGAGCCCGCGGGTTCAAGATCCGCCTGGGCAGCAAGACCTCATCTCTACAATAAATCAAAAAATCAGCCGGGAGTGGTAGCGCATGTCTGTAATTCCGGCTACTTGGAAGGCTGAGGCAGAAGGAACGCCGGAGCCCAGCAGGTCGAGGCTGCAGTGATCGGGAGCGGCCACTGTACTCCAGTCTGGGCAACAGAGTGAGACTCCAACTCAAAAAAAAAAAAAAAAAAAAAAAAAAGATCTCTTCATATATATCTTCATATATGACAGGAGTTTATCTGCCCCTGTTTTTAAAAAAATAATCAGGTGAATACATTTAAAGATGTGTACCTCCTCAGCCTTGAAATTGAAATCCTAGATCCTAATATAACAAGACCTTTTCTATTTCTAGCTTTTTGGTAGAGACAATAAAAAATATTTGCAATCCCCACATGCTTAATTTGTTTTTGTACTTGGAGATTTTCTGGAGAAAGCATCACTGTTAAAATATTTGCTCCGTGCTCTTTACAGAATTTTGTCCATTGGCTATCTTGGACCCAGGCAAGGGAGGTTTAGGTGCCAGTGATTCTTCATTAAAACCTAGTTTCACTTACATACTGACAGGTAGTCTACTGACAGCATTACCACAAACATGGGTCACTGTAATTACTGTTTCTCTCACTTTCAGTCACTCTGGAGATATAGAAACAGGACATTGGTCCACAGCCTTCCCAACATAATGAACTTTAGACAGCTGTAAGTTGTCATATTAAAATGGGGAAAAGAATTTTTAAAATGTAGTCATATTGGAAACCCTTGATAATGCTAATTTTGATGGACAGGACTCTCACAATGTCCTGGTAAAATAGCATATTTATGTCAAGCTTTGACATTTTAATTGGCTTAGGCTTTTAATTGCTGTATTATGGAGTACTTAGTCTGGCCCACATATACTCAAATAAGGTAGTAGTGAATCATTTTACACTTAGGTTCTTTTGAACAAAATGTATGTCTGGAAAAGTACAGCTACTTGTTCCTGTTGGAAATTTCCAATTGAGCCATTTATTGCCGTAAAAACCATCTCATGAAACAATTATGGGAGCCTGGAACGAAAAAGATTTAGGAGACTCTCAGGACTCAACTAGCATAAATGTCACTGCCTCACTGTTCCAGGTCAACAACACATTTGCTTATTTGCACATGCTGGTCACTTAGAGGTCTCTGCCTTAGATAAGAGACTAATACTATTAATACTAGTTGTTGAATGTCCATGGTTGATATATCTGATTCAGCATGTCCTGAGTGGCACCTACAATAGTGGTCTCAGCCTGGAAGCCCAGCAAACTCCTTGCTGACCCTGAGGAGGTCGTGGGATTGGGGTTCATTGATGTCACAATGTGGAAAGGTTTTTTAAGCACTTCAGTTAAGTATTCCTCTTCTGTGATTTTTTTTCTAACCTGTACTAAGTTTGCCACTGTTTTAGATTTGCTTGTGTAGCCTAAGTGATTACTTTAAGGCCAGTCACTTAATCTAATAGAATTAGTTGCAGCCACAGAATATTGTGCTGAGATTAATGACATGAACATCTCCACTTTGTCTCTAGGTTGATATGGCAGCATGAGATCATTATCTTTCCTTCATTAGTCCTGCCAACTTCACTGGTTAATTTGATCATTTTCTGTCTCCACAGTTCCTACTGACTATAGCTATTTGCCTGAAAGCAGTTTTATTGGAGCAGCCATTGGCTTCTTTATTACAGGAGGAAAAAAAGGCAAGTGAGCTCCTTTCTTGAATTTCATCATTCTTTCTCCAATGTTAAGTAAATTTGTGTGCTCTAAGATGCCTCTATAGAGTCAAATAATACAAATCTGTAGTGAATATTATTACTACTACTAAGCCATCTTTGCAATAGGGATGACCAGGAGGCTAACTACAATAATTGGCATATAAATATGCACATTGTGTGGTTTTCCTGCAATCACTGTCTCTGACATTGGGTGCTTCTTTCAGAATCTTAATCTTCCATTTGGTCATTTCAAAAGTATAAGTGCACATTGCTTTTCCTCTCAATTTCAAGTCAGTGTGATCTGAAAAGAGGAAACATCCCTGGGTGCCGTTTGTATCCCAGGACCTGTCTTGGAAGTAGGTTTTCTCCCTGCACCTTGTATGATCACTCTATGTTGATGAAATCACTGACTTTGGTTCCTATTTTTAGTCTGTGTTCTTTTTCTCTGCACACATTTGATCCTCTGTGATTGTGTATAGCTGCCACCTGCATTAGAATACAAGCAACTTGAAGACAGAGATTGAGTGCCTTTTGTTGTTAACTGGAGCCAGAACAATGCCATGTACGTTATTAAATAAATGTTCCTTAATGACCCGTATATACTTCTCAGAACTGTGAGGAATAAATGGATTAGAAAGGAACATGTCATGGCTCAAGAACCAGCTTTATTAATGTGATATTCTTTCTTTGCCATTTGCTAATTTTATTCTTCCTCGGCTGATTAGGTCAGTCTGGACAAAACCAGGGCATATATTGCAGCAAGATCATCCCAATTTTGGGAAAGGAAAAACATGTTTGTAAACATAAAAACAAAAACTAGAAGAAATCTGGAGGAAGCCATTTGATTAATGAAATTAATGAAGGTCATGGAAGAATAATATTTTACCATTGGAAAGGAACTCAAAACTCTCATTGTATGAGCTCTGACAGGGTACAGTAATTCCTGCAGCTTCCAAATTATGAACTACTTTCATTGCCTGGAGACAAACTCCTTTCATTTCTGGAGTTTCAGAATGTGTGCTGTTATCCTAAGGTTCTGAGTTAGCATTATGTTCTTTTACTTATCCTCAGTAAAAATTGACATAGGATATGTCATTGTTGTACATGATATATTTAAATATATCATATGCCATATAATTTGTAGTTATATAGTTCATTGTTAATATTGCCATAAATTAAGCCTATTTAAAAATAAATGTTATAATAGAGATGTCTTCATTAGTAAGAAATTGAATTATTATTAAATAAGCATCTAAAATTTCTATGACCAAAATAATGCTAGGAATATATAATATAATACAAAATAAACTTCTGTTATATTTTTTGTTAGGTTGCTTATTGATATCTTGCATTTTTAAAATGGCAATGTGAACTATTTCCGTGAGGAGTAAAGTAAAAACTCTTAAGGTCAAATGAAAGAGTCTTTTATTTTCTAATGAATAAAATGTCATTTTGGTTCCACCAGATCCATAATTCTTGGCAGAAATGAATCTTCTCTGAATCTTATGGGTAATTTATGGTTGAATAACATTTTTATGATTATGCAGTTATGGCACAACAGGAAATGTTTTGCTCTAAGTTTGAAAAATCGGGTGAAACTGGAATCAGTGTTAATGTGCAGTCTTGCTGAAAGTTGCTTTAAAACAGATAAATTAAGTATTAAAACATGCCATATTACCAATCAGATATCCGGCATTTTCAGGTTGTGGGAGAGGGCTGCCTTCTTGTCAGGTTTGCCGACTAGATTCAGAGGAAAATCTATTCAGCTTTACTCATTACTAATGATGACCCCAGAGGAGTGGGGGCCGTGGGAGGCTGACCTCCGCCTCCGAAGCCCATTTACAAAAACAAAACCAGACTCTGCTCTATGGGGCTAAATGGGATGGCCAAATGCGGAGGTGTGCATGCAAACGAGTGTTTTCTTCTTCAATATGCCCAGCTCATTTGAATTTTAATAACTCCCTTCTGAAGCAGCTTTTGGGTTTAAGTGTCTAGATGTCAGTCACCAGAGCCCAGTGGAGCTGGCTGATAGGAAGGATGGCAACTTTGGTGAACTCTTTTCAGGAAGAAATGGTTTAAAGAATAAAAATCATGCTTAGCATAGGCGGAAGACAGAGAACTTTGGGGATGAGATGGTTTCATTGCCTCTGTGTGCTATTCTTAACTTTAGTAACTTATGAGAAGGAAAAAAATGTGATGGGTTACCCCGATCCTCACTTATGCTAGGATGAGATTGGGCATCAAGATCTCAATTTGAGCCAATCAAATTTGAGATTGTGAATATATTTAATCTGGTTGCCAGTGCTTAGTACTTTCTCTCTTTGAATACTCATTTTAATGCTCATGATAGAACATATAAGATGTTCATAGCATCCATTCCTTCATGCAAGCTATATTTTAAAACCATACCAAATAGATGAAATTCCCTCAGTTTTTAAATAATTCAGTTCATGGTTTTGAATATAATTTTTTTTGCTGTACCATGTGGCATTCTCCCTTCTCCCCTGATAGCACTGGTATTCCTCTATCAAATACATTATTACTTAATCTTTTGTCATCATCATTCGTTATGGACATTCCTTGACTCTACTAGGCTTAAAATCTGTGCTCATAATCCAGTTCTTCCCAACATGGATTCATTATTTTTTTCCCCAAAGGTGTCTAATTTTTTACTTTTATTGTTTTAGCTTCTTTTCCACTCATTCATTTTTTTCCTAATTTCTGAACTTTGTGTTTTCTCAAGCTTATATGTTGTTAGGATTTCATCAAGAGTGTATCCCTTTTTTAATAAAACATTAAAAATTATAAATAAAAGTATTTAAAATACTTAACAAAAGTAATAATTCCTTTCTGATGCTAGTATTAGGTATGTCTACATAATAGGATTATTTTTGTTATCATTCTATTGCTGGGAAATGACTAACACTTTCTAAGCTTCTATTTTTCTATTCGACTTTAATATTCACAGTGAGAAGTATTATCTGAGGAAAGTATATTTAAATTCATGTAATACAGTCATTATGAATAGCGTTGCTTACTTGATATGAATTTGTTGGTCAGTGATTTGTGTATGAAAGTAGTAATGCACAAAGTATAGGTAGCTATGTGCTCAAGCAGTCATTTTTGGACTGTTGGCATGAGATATAATTGTTGAGAAGGCATCTAGCTAAAGGAACAGAATTAGTGAATTCTGAGTGTACAGTAAATGACATGAGAAAGTTATCCTATTTTTGATGAGATTATGGAGTTGTTGGCAAGACTGTGTATCTTGTTTAAATTCAGTAATAGTTTACCTTTATAGCTATTTTAAAAACATTATTAGAAATGAATACATGAGGATAATACTAAGTTCAAAATTGGTACAAAGAATATCACCTCTGTAGTGTCACCATTTGAAGATAGCCTTTATAGATACTTCCGCATATGTCCTTCTATGTGTGTGTGTGTGTGTGTGTGTGTGTGTGTGTGTGTGTGTGTGTGTGTGTGTGAAAGAGAGAGAGGGGGAAAGAAAGATACTATATTGGACCTTAAAATGTATATTATTTTGTTGTTTGGCTTTTTAAAATATTTAGTAACTTTTCATGTAAATGCACATAATTAGCACCTGTCTCCTCTCAAAGGAGACTTAGAGGAAGTATGAAAGAGTTCTATTCTAGACACTTATCAATTGAATATTTGTGTGTGTGTTTGAGTTTTTTTTTTTTTTTTGGTAAATATCATGCAAATATTAGGAAAGAAATAAGTCACTGATTATTCCATGACTTTCTACATGTCATTTTCAGATGTCATTTTTTAATGTGTTGCTTTTTATGCACACATAGTTTTTACATATGTACTTATACATATACTTTGTAGTTTTTGACTTAATATTATAAACAGTTCTTTCCCTGTTTTTCATATATGTCCATGATTATTATTTTTAAATAACTAGAATATTTCATCAGGTTGATGAATCACAATAAACTTAATTTCACTATTAGGTGTTTTTAAAATTTCTATTATAATATTTATCTTTATGCATGTGGATCATTTTTAAAAATTCCATTTTAGTGCACATCTTTATACATGTACTTCTCTCTTTTGCTATATCTTGCCTTTGGATAAATTCTCAGCAATGTATTAGTCAGCAAGCCTTAGGATTTGATGACTGTTGGGATGGCATGGCTTTATTGCTTTTCAAAAAGATTGTACCAGTTTTCAGTACCTCAGCCCTATATGACTATGCAAAGGAGTGTAACACAGGTTAAAAGCCTGGGTATCAGAACGCCTGAGTTCATATCTGACTTCCACTACTCTAAGCCTCAGTCCCTTCTGTAAAATGGAGAAAATAATAGAATCTTCTTTTATAGAGTTTTTATAAGGATTATGAGTCATTTTATGTAACAGTACTTAGAAAACAAAGAATAAACCCCTTCTAGTTCTACAAAGCAAGCCAATATGCAATATAGATAAACAAATGACAACAGTAAAAGCCAGTCAGGTATACAATACCTTAAGATCACTTTAATTTGCATTTCATTGCTGGAGGGAATGAACATATTTACATACATTTACTTTTCAAGATGTTGTTTTTTAAATTAAATTTTATATTTATTTTTAATTTCATTTTTTAATTGACAAATAATAATTGTACATAATTGGTTTCATCGTGATGTTTCAATACATATAATGTATAGTAATTAGATCAAGGTTTAATATGTCCATTAGCTCAAATATTTTATCATTTCTTTGTGTTTGGAACATACGATATCCTCCTTTTAGCTATTTGAAACTATATACCCTTATTATTAACTCTAGTTATCCTACAGTGTTATAGAACACTAGAACTTATTTCTCCAATCTAACTGTAATTTTCTATCCTTTAACAAATAACTCTCTATCCCTCCCTTTCCCTACCCTTCCCCAGCCTCTAGTATTCTGTATTCTACAGTTTTCCTTCTATGAGATCAACTTTTTTTTAGCTTTCATATATGAATGAAAATATG